CTTACATAGTGAATAAGTTACATGGTGAACAGTACAAGGGCAGTCATCACAGAAACTTTCAGTTTTGATCATGCATTATGAACTATAAACAATCAGTTCAAATATGAATATTCGTTTGATTTTTATACTTGATTTATATGTGAATACCACATTTCTCTCTTTATTATTATTATTTTTAATAAAATGCTGAAGTGATAGGTAGATGCAAGATAAAGGTAAAAAACATAGTTTAGTGTTGTAGAAACCTATTATACTTTTATGTTGTGAACTATTAATCCCTTGATAGTTATTAAACATTATGAACTATCTAAGATTTTTGACAATTATTTCTTTACTGTTATTGGAAAAGTTTATGTCTTTGAGGAATTTGCTCTCCCAACTTCAGTGTCATGTCACCATTGCAACCCTTTAAAGAAAAAATATCTGAATTCACAGTGATGTGCCTTCTCCCCTCAGAAATGAGCCAGTACATCTTTAGCTAAGGACAGTTAGAATTTTACTTTGAAATATTAAGATTAGATAACCAAAAGGGATTTGAAAAAGAGTGAAACGTGTTTATTGCTTATTAGAAGGAATGAGTAATTTAAAAACCAGTAGCAGGCTGATTACCATAGACTTAAGAGAGCTAGCCATTACTAATGGACACATTCTTTACAACTAGGAAGAAAATGGTGAACTGTGAAAAATAAGTCTTTTAGCTTATTTCAAAGCCAAAAGATACAATTAACTGGAATTATTTACTTTTTTAAAAACCATAGTAGATTAACAATAGTGTGTATGATAATTATCTTTATCTATATACTACTCTACTTAACATGTAAGTAAAGAACTGTTCAGACCTCAGCAACAGTTGAACATTGCACTTCATACAAACAATAAACTAAAGAGAGAGAATAGGGAACTCAGATTATTATGAAGACTGATTTTCAGTGAGTTCCCAGTAAATATGAAGCCTGATGCAGTATTTCGGCAGTTCTGAGCTTTTTCCCCCTCTGATATATCCTGCCATTTGTTAAAATTCTGCACAATTTCACTATGGAAACCCAGGCCTGGCCTCAGATAAAATTCTTTGGTGTAACCATAGAATGCCTTTTACGGCCAGAAACCTGAGGTCCTTTGAGCTAAATACTGAGGGACAAAAGTGGCCCTCCTGCAGAGGAGCCGTACAGCAGGTTCTCGTACTTGAGTCTGAGAGTTGCAGGAGTGTGATATGGTCGGGGGCAATCATACACTGAAGTAAGATGCAAAGACCTTCCTTTGATTGTCAGGTCCAAGGAAAATTTTTTTGTTTGCGGGGAGCATCCCTCATAAATGTGGATGTTCAGATTAAGAAGTCGGTGTGAGCCTGCAGTCCTGTTTTGCAGCTCTCGGAGCACTGGCAGTCCACCAGAAAACACCTACAGCCAGACATCCTGGGCAAGGCTGAGGCTGTCAGAAGCTTCCTGGATTTCGTTCAGCGCCTGAGGACTGCAAAGAAAGAGGAGATCCTACAAATCCTAAAGGCCGAAAACAAGGAAGTACTGTAAGTTCCCTGGACATTGTGAGGGGTTGTCTGTTAGAAAGCGTTTCTGGACTATGTTTTTTTCTATTAAGCAAGAACGACCCTTTTTTAACCAACTGCCCCATCTCCAAATCAATCATTTCATTGTTTCGCATTTTCTTCGAACAGTTACACCACAGTGCAATAATTTAACGGTTACCTGACCAGAAATGCAATAACAAGTTTTTAGCTCAGAATGACTCACAATGTACATTTTTTGAGTATTTAGGAGTTCAAATCAGGTCTAGATTGGTACATAGATAGGGCAGGGCAGGGTTTCATCTTAACGCCATGAAGCATGTGCTGCCTCACTGTTTTTGAAATTGTGTTCCTGGAGCTATTAAATTGCACTTGAAAAAATTTCAGAGTTGATGATAAAAACAGAAAAAGAGCATGGCTTTTTCAATTGAAATATGTGCTTTCATTAAAGTCTCGGTGATCATCCCCATGGAAGCCATGTTTTATATAGAAAATTGATAATTCAGGTAAATAGCCAAAAGAATCTAGAGAAAAGGAATCTGTACATTATTTGAATATTTGGTGGAAGTATGATTCATTCTACATGCATAATAAAGAGAACGGACTTAATTTCCAAATTTACTTTGTGGATACAAGTTTTTTTTGTGTGTAATGTAGAATTTGTCTATAAATACAAATTCAACTCTATGATACCTTTTATGCTAAGGATATAGAACAAGGCTCAATTTAACAAACAGTTAAACTAGCCATTAACATAACCAAAAGTGGGAATTGGCCAAATTACGCACACAACAGCAGTTGTCATTGAGTTCCAATGACTCAATTCCTTAAGAAGAAGAGAATGTAGCTCTTTTTTCTGAGGAGTCTATTTATTCTTGATCGAATTTGTTACTTAGTTGCTTTGAGGACATTAAAAAAAATTGATAGGAATTTCATGTGATAAAACACAGTTGGTTTAATTTTGCTTCAAAATGTAAGTATTTAAAGCAGAAGTTGAAAGATACACAAAATAATAAATCCTCAGACTCTGTTTTAGTCATAGAACTTTAAAATATATTTATAAGGTGATTTGTATCTATTTTCAAAGGCAAAAATACTGGAAAGTCAAGTACAATACTTAGCTAATACTTTAGAATAGAGATTAATGAACCCATACCTTATTTATAGCCTAAAAATCTTGGGTGGCAATAATCTGGATGACTTCATTATGTATTTTCTAAGTCAAATTACAGGTTTCCCCTATATCTGAAAGTAGAGCATTCCTGAAAGTCTCCTAAGCTAAAATAACATAAATCAAAGAAACAATTGCCATTAGTTTATATGGAAAAATTTTTTGAACATTCCTAGACCCCAAAAAGGAACCTCTCTTAGGCTTTTCTGATACCTTAGGACACATCTTGCTAATGGTTGCACAGAATAATTCAGGATAAAGAGCAGATGCTCACAGACACAGTTCAAAGCTTGAGGGCTTGAAGCTGAGAGGCTGATGTGGTTCCTCAGGAAGGAGCTTGGAGGGGCCAGCGTTGCTGCTTAGGGTACGTGTTGCCCCTTTACCTCTTGGCAGCAGAACAAACCCTGGAGGCTATTTTCACTTTCTGCCTTTTTTTAGGAAAAGCAGAAATCCTCTTTAGGCTTCTTTTGGTTAGTGAGAGCAGGTACTAATGTAGGTTTTCCATAAAAGCAAAGTGGAGTAATGTGACCTTTCAAAAAGCCGTGATACCTGTATTTATGTAACATTGTACCATACCATATGTAACACACATGTAGCATAGTGTAGCAGAAAGGATGGGAAGATGAACTAAAATTGGAAGACCTAGTTTTAAATTGAGCCTCTCTGAGCCTCACTTTCAACATCTGTGAAATACAGAGAATAAGTCCTTTTATTTACTGTAGAATAGTGAAAGGAGTGTAACGTTTCCCAAAGTGTCTATTGTGCATATCCTGTAATTTTCACAATGTTAACAAATGTGGCAAGAGGAAAGAATTTTGTAAGCAATGAGTTTGAAAAACTCTGGATTAAACCAAGTCAACTAATTCTCTTGGTTTCAGAAATTTTAGCATCTTTAGTCAGATAATACTATGTATATGTGCACTTAAACATTTTGTAAACTTACATGACCCTTGAAAATCCATTTTCTTAAAGAATTTCATAGGACTAGACACCAAACACTTTGGGAAACAATGGTGTAATTTCCACTGGTGTAATTTCCAGTAATTTGGGAAACACTACAATTTCCAGTGTACTGCTGTCATAATAGGCACTTAAGAGGTATTATCTCTCAGTCTCTGCATCACAAGGTTTTTGTTAGGATCCAAATGATATTGTGCAAGTCTATCATTTTTTAAACATACATGCACAACTGTATGTGTGCTTATATGGATGTGGAATATAATATTTACATACATAATATTAAAAGAACAGGCACCCAGAGTCAGAAAAACTTGAGTTCCAATCCCAGCTCTACACTTACCAGCTGCTGTATCCTGAACAAATTATTTGATATATCTGATTCTGTTTCCTCATACGTAAGGGGCAATATTAGTATCAAACTGACAGAGCTTTTCAGCTGATATAATGAGGTGATTGTATTAATAACAGCCCATATTTTTTTAACATTTGTAATGCGCCAGTGTACAACTATTCTAATTATTTTGCATAGATTATGTAATTTCATCCTCCCAACAATCCTAAAATAACTGCTATTTTAGCCCCATTTTACAGATAAAGAAATTAAAACACTACACTACGATTTCCAGTGTAGTGCTGTCATAATAGGCACTTAAGAGATATTATCTCTCAGTCTCTGCGTCACAAGGATTTTGTTAGGATCCAAATGATATTGTGCAAGTCTATCATTTTTTTAAACATACATTCATACATGTATGTGTGCTTATATGGATGTGGAATATAATATTTACATACATAATATATTAATTAATTAATTGGTCCAACAACTAATTTCAAGAATTTTACTATCCCATACTCAACCAACCAAAATTCTTGATGACTCAAATACATAATTAGAACTTTTCTATAGGAGTTCTACTCTCCCCACACATAACCATTATGGTTGACATTGAACTATACTATGTGCATTTTATTCTTAAAAAAATGAGCAAAACTTCTCCCTTGGATATAAATTAAAGTTAAAAGAATTTTCCACCTTTCCATTAAAGAATACTACCTGAGTTAAGTTAAGCATTTGAGAAATGTGTATATTTGCAAAGCTTAGTAGAGAGAATCAATTTTTGAAATGATAACTTTTGTATATTACTATGTTGAAAATAATAGAAGCCTAATTTGTAATTTTATTTACATACTTTTTATTTATAAATTATATTTGGTTTAGTCTAATATAGTAAAATTAGTTTGTATATTCTGAGTGCACAGTGAGCTAGAGAGAGAATAATTAAGGAAGAGATTTAAAATAAAATGGGGAAGTGGTTTGAGAAAAATAATTGATTTTTCCTTTGTTCAAATAAAATTTCACTTCCGTAGGAAATTCAGACCAATGGAGAGTCTGTGTATGGGAGAGAATTTAAGTAATTTCTTAAGCACCCTGGACACTGATATTCATGACTATGCCTCTTTGTAGACCTCAGCTGGTTGATGCTGTCACTTCTGCTCAGACATCAGATTCATTAGATGCCATTTTGGACTTCTTGGATTTCAAAAGTGACAGTAGTGTTATCCTTCAGGAGAGGTTTCTCTATGCCTGTGGATTTGCCTCCCATCCCAATGAAGAACTCCTTAGAGCACTCATTGTAAGTAATATGGACACTGGAAAAATAAAGGCTCTCTGTTGCTGAAAAGCTCTTAAGAATCTAAGCAGTAATTAAAAATTGCTGGCATCAAAATGAAAGCTGAAACTAGAATGCCTTCTGGTTATTCATATTCAGGTTCTAGTGGACTATTTTCTCTCCATAAATCATTAACTGTACAGTAAATTATTTATGTAGTGCCTTTTTTGCAATTCTTCTAAATAACATAAACTACTTTATGGAAGTTAAAAAATTGTGTTCACCTATCACATAATGTGACATAGGACAAAATTTCAGAGGGGAGAAGTCTTAATTATACTTAAAAATTGATTTTAAAAGACTTGTGTTCATTGCAAAAACTTCCATGGTATTTAATACACTTTATATTGAAAAGATACAATTCTTCTGATAATAAAAAATTTAGGTTGGAAACAAAAGCTAGACTTATCTTGGGTCCAAGATTTAAAAACAAAATGTTCATATATCTACCTATAATCTAGTGGAATAGTTAATAATCTTTTTTGGCAAATGAGCCCATTTGAGAATCTGATAAAAAGCAATGAAGCCCCTCTTCACCCATAACTAAAACTTTACAGATCATTTTTGGTGTACTGACCCAGTAAACCCACTCCATAAACCTCTTGGGAGTTCATAGGCCCATGTTTTGAAGACCTGAAAAGGGGAGATTCTATTAGCTCTTCAGTTCAATACCAGAGAGTGATTTTGTTAAGTGTCCCCAAATCCAAATTCTGAATTTTCATCTAGAAACTTAAAAAGAATATTTCTCAGGTACTGGTTACTTTGTTTCTTAACTAAAAATAGTCTTGGAAATGTTTAAATATTCTGGTAACCTGTTTTATCTCTGTTTATCTAATAGAGTAAGTTCAGAGGTTCCTTTGCCAGCAACGACATCAGAGAAACTGTTATGATCGTCATTGGGGCCCTTGTCAGGAAGCTGTGTCAGAATGAAGGCTGCAAACTCCAAGTAAGTGTGAATCTGGTCTTGCATATTGCCATCGTTACAGACCATTCTATTTCTTACTCATCATGCTGCCCACCACTGGCACTCCTAACCCCCCTTGCCCTATTCTACTTCCCCTATTTGCATGCAATTATTGTCATCTAAAATGCTTTATAATTCAGATGTTTGTCACATTTTTTATTTCTGTCTCCCATTGGAATGTAAGCTCGATGCAGAAAAAGATATTTGTTTTGTTAACACCAATTGCCTAAAATGATATCTAGTACATACATGGTGTTCAATAAGTACTTGCTAAAAGGTGAATAGTCTGTTACTCCCTCATCAATATATATTTATTGAGTGCCCGCTATGTATTCAACTTTGAGTGTTCTGTGTGATGCAGTTCTTGTTCTTAGAAAAACACTAGACTCTAGGGCTACCTCCTATAGCAGAACTTATCTATAATAAGTGTGGTTTACAGTTTTGAGTTTTGATGGTGAGAATTTAGTTACTTCTAATTACTTAGAATTTTATATTTATTTTTAATTTGATTTGCTCAAGTCTTCTCCATTTGCCTGACTGGACTATCAGTTTTAACATCTTCCTCATTAAAAAGAAAAGGCACTCACTTTGCAAGCATAACAAAATTTGAAAAATCCAAATGATTAATATCCAGCACAGTGTATCTTTCAATGCAAGAAGATTAAAGATGCTGAATATATAAAAACAGCCTTTTTACTGTCCATGTTTTTTATACAGACAGGTTCCAATCAGTAATTTTCTTCTATTTCCAAGAAACATCATTATATTATTTTGCTCACTGAGTACTTGCTATTAAAAACAATAGGAAGAACATGTTTGAGACCAAATAGTTCCAAAAGAGGCAATCCATAACTAGAATATAAACTAAGTATGAAAAAGATTACCAAAACAACAATGGCATTGAAAATGAGTATCAGCTTATTAACTTTTGGCAAAAATCAATTTTATATTATTTTTATGACATCAAGAGCTATGATTCTTATATTGTTCAATTTCCATAATTATTTGAGTAGCTAGTTTACTTCAGCAATCCTATATGAAACATTTTGGCTAGAGACAAAACTCACGTATGAAAACATCCACTCAGCATTGTTCAATGAGCATCTACTCTGTGCTAGATGATGCTAATCCCTTAATATGAGGATGCATAAAATATTCTACCATGCTCAAAGAATTTCTAATCTACTTATCAAATACAAACAATAATATTGAAACATACACAGAGTACTTTGAGAATACAGACAATGTAGCAAACTATTCTGTTTGGGGATGTTGAGGAAGGTTTCACCAAAATGATAATATTTGAGCTGAGTCTAGAAGAGCTTTCTAGGTGAAGAGATAGTAGTAGGGAATGAAGGACATTCTAGGAGAAATACAACAATGCATGAATAGGCTCAATGTCACAATGGGCTGCTATGCTTAGGAACAGTGAGAAATCCTGCAGGGCTGGAGCACAAAGTGTGCATATGTATGGGACAGCTAGATAGGAGTGGAGATGCAGGAAAGTAGGGAAGAGAGCAAAGAGATGGGCTACATCTTTATTAATGAAAAACTTGGAGTCTGGCCTTCATTCTACAGAGAAAAGGGAGAATAATGTGGTTGGTGGCAGGTGAACAACATGCTAAGATTACCTAGAAAGAAGCAAAATCATGTATGAACTGGGTATCTGTTAGATTAGAGCCAATTGAAAAATGTTTGCAATAACCTGAGCAAGAGTAAGTAGAGGCCTGAATAACATAGGGGCAGTAGAGAGAGAAGGAGGCAGATTCAAGAGCTACTTAGGAAGTGGAGTTATAGTGACTGATGGGATGTGGAGAATGAGAAAGAGGTTAAAACTCTAGGTGATTATTAAGCTTCCAGGTTAGGATAGCAGGTTACAGTGCTGTGGACCACTGAAGCAAAGTTCATAGAACGTGGCGTAGGGGTGGGAGGAAGGTAGAGCTAGTAATTTGTTTTGGCTAGGTTGAGTTTGAAATCCTTTGGGCCACCAAGCTGAGTTGTCCAACAGGCAGACGGCCCGCCCATCTGGGAAGAGGAGGTAGGGCCAGGAGTGGAGAGTGGCTGGAACTTTGGGAAAGAATCTAATGTACCATGAGAAGAAAACTGAACAAAGGATTAATTTAAAGTTCTGCCAATAATGGTTCAGCCTAGTTCTCATCACATCTTTAAAGGCACCTTTAGTAACTGTATGCTCTCCGCTCTCACTGTCGATCAATTTTGTTAATATTTTTGGCAACTTCTAAAAAACTGCATCTTTGAAGATAATTAGACTTGGCCATCAGATGGATTGTAGTAAATGTTCACATTTTCTTTTCAACTTTATGCTGTGGAATACCTTTTGCCAAAATTGAAGGCATATGAGTGGAAAGAAAATTAAGTATTCTAAGTACAAACTTCAAATGCCTACTGAGGACACATACTTCTACTGCCCGAAAGTTACCTGCTACTTTTCCGAACTACTAATATGAAAATTACTGCCTGATGACAGTCCAAATGGCAGCTAGGCAAGTTCGCAATGAGTACTAAACACCCTATTTCTTTTTTCTATTTGTTTTTTGCTTATATTCTGACCTCCCTGCATCCTAATTTCTTTTTTTCCTCCAATTAGTATTTGAAAAAATTCAAACCTACAGAAAAGCTGTAGGAACAGTACAATTCCATGAATATCTGGATATCCTTCATCTAGATTTGACAATTGCTAACATATTGCCATTTCCCATTATCTTATTCTGTTTTATCTCATTTCATTTTTATTTTGGTTGTACCATTTGAGAGTGAGTTGCAGACATCTTACATTTTACCATAAATGCTTTTACATCTTATTACTTGAGTGTCATTGCATCTAGGCTCTTACAATGGACAACATACATATATTTATATTTATTACATGGTGAGTTCATACCTTTAATTACAATCCAGTATGACAGGCACTTTGTCTTCTTCCCCTATTCCATAATTGTATCTTCCTTTACCCACAGGGAAAACCCTGGTTTTCAAGAATATCAATATATTGATTTATTTGCTCAATATTAAAACACACACAAAATAGTTTTGGAAATTCCAGATTTGTCCGTTTTTTTTGTTCTTAGAATATGTTCCATTAGCAGTATATGGTGATAGTTCTATAGTCAATGGTCTCTTGCATTAATTCTTTTTTATTCTCTTCCATTTCATTGTATGATCAATTTGATATACACTTACATCTGTTTGTTTCTGTTTGAATTCAGTTTTAACAATCTTCCATCCTTGTTGATATAATTTTATTTCTTGATTATGTGAAATATTAACATAGTTCAAAACTGTATTTTCAAAGTATTCTCAAACAGACCTCATTCCCTCTCCTACCCCTTCCACCCATTCCCACCTACTTTCTCTGTGTAAGCAGTATCATTAGTTTTTGGCTTTTCCTTCCCATGTTTCTTTTTACAATGGCAAGCAGATGTACACACACATTTTCATTTCTTTTTTCTTCTGCAAAATATAGCATTCTATATACACTCTATGATTGCTAATTTTTTCCACTTAACACTCTACCCTGGAAATCACCCCCTACTGGCTCACAGAGCTCTTCCTCGTTCCTTTTGACAGCTGCCTAGTACTCATTGTATCACTGTGCTGCACTTTGTTCAGCATCTCCTATGAAGTGGTTTCCACTCTTGCTATTACAAATAATGCTGAAATGAATAATATTAGGCACATTTTTTCCCCACTGTTGGACGGTAGCTTCAGAGCTAGGGTTGCTGGTCAAAATGCAGACATGTTATCTTTTGCCAAATTATCTTCCATAAGAATCACACCATTTCATGCTTCTACCAGCAATGTATGAGAATGCCTATTTCTCCACAGCCTCACTAACAAACTATGTCATCAAACTTTTTAATTTATTAATCTGAAATTTAAGAAATAGCATTTTTTTCTGATTGTACATGAAGGTTAGTATTTTTCTTTTTGGGGGGGTCCTTTTTTTATCTCCCTGCCCCCCACCCCCTGCCCTCTCCCTACACTTTGTGTGTGTGTGTGTGTGTGTGTGTGTGTGTGTGTGTGTACACTTGCTGCCTAGTTCCAGAGTTTCCAAATTCTATAGATGAATTAGATCTTAGGAATCTTTATTTTAAAGATGAAACTGAAGTTCCTAAAACATACATAGTGGTAAAGACCAGAACTCAGATATTCCTACTTCTAATTTGCTTCTCCATTAAACTATTAATTTGTAATTAGTTCCTTTTTTTCTAGGCCAGGAAGAAAGATATTTTTTGATTAATGGACATATTTGAAAAGTACCTATCAAAGTACCTGCCACATAAAAAAGAGCATTTTCTGGAACTATATGGTAGCAGTCATCAAATTTGGAATCAAGTGGGAACAAGCACTTTTTAAATGTTTAGAATAAGAACTAACAATAGAGTTCTAAGCACTTTCTTCAAATTGATACTTAAGAAAAAGTGGATGGCACCACTTAGTTGCCATCTGATATTGATTTAGAAATTCAATGAATGGGCACTTTTATGAATAACCAATCACAGGGGAAGTTTTTAAATGATTTCATATATTCAGGGTGTGTTCAAAGTAAATGTGTCCATTTTTAATTATACTCATTGCTTCTTAAGAATATGTTAATGTGTGTATTTTTTAAAAACACACAACACCTTAATCAAGCTTTACTTGTTCATTTTTATTGTGTTCCTCAATCAGGCAACCAATGAAAAACTTTCTAAAACTAGGTTGTTTTCTTGGACCCAAGAGTGAAGCTAGTCTTGCCTAAGCCTTGTTTAATGTATGGTTATGCAATATCTGAGGTAGTATGTGATTTTTTAGGCAGTGGTAGAAGCCAAGAAGTTAATTCTGGGAGGACTTGAAAAAGCAGAGAAGAAAGAGGACACCATGATGTACTTGCTGGCTCTGAAGAACGCCCTGCTCCCAGAAGGCATCCCACTCCTCCTGAAGCATGCAGAGTCAGGACAGGGGCCCATCAGCCACCTCGCTACCACCGCTCTCCAGAGATACGATGTCCCTTTCATAACTAATGAGGTAAATTCCCCATAATATTTGCAACATTCACAAAATAAAAAAGCTTGCCTAAACACAAGCCAAATGCAAATTCCCCTGAAGTCTCCCTGGTTTTTCCAAACTAACAATCTCTTTCCTGCTTAGAAATAACTCTCAAGTTGAACTTAAGGCTATTCTGAAGCAGCCTCACATTTTGAACAGATAATGTCCTATATCCTGAGGCATAAATAGTGAAGCACATTCTCTTATTTTAAGAAACAAATTCTTTACAGAAATATCTTTAGTTCTATAAGTTTTAAGATGCTGTTAGGTTTTTTGACACTGAAATATCCTGGCTTAAGTATTACCATTTGGGTTTCTACAACCACATTTTTAGCAAGCCATCCAAATTAAACTTTTGTTAGGGCAGAGAATGTTTACAAACCTCAAAATAAACTGCCTCCTGACAACAGTGTTTCCAATTTGCAGCTAAGTACCTTCCTACTAGTTTTGTCTCCAAATTGACAGTCTACAAAGCATGATGGCTAGGGTCATGGGCTATTGAGACAGACAGACCTACATGTATACTCCAACTCTCTCCCTTCCTAGTTGATTGTGCTTACCTGAGTTATTTAAGGTGAGTTATTCTATACACCTCAGAAGAAGACCAGCGTTTGGGGGAAAAAAAGGCAAAGGGAAGTAGAATTGAAAGATATAAATGCTTAATACAGAACCCCACCCACCACATATTGTTAGTCCAGAATAGTAACCAACAAAATTATTTGTTGCCACATAATGCAAGTATTTTGGCAAATTTTCTTTGGTGTTAATGTTTTGTTTTTTAAATAGTCCCCTAATGTAACCAGTGGACTCTGCATAATAATGATACATTGAAACAGATTCATAAGATGTAACACATGTGCCACAGTGGGGCAGGATGTTGATGGGGGGAGGTTGTATGTATCCATTGGTGGCAGGGAGACTAGAAGAAGTGGGTATGTAGGAACTCTCTATACTTACAGCTCAATTTTGCTGTCAGCCTAAAATTGCTCTAAAAAAATGAAGTCTAACAACAACAACAAAAAAGGAAGATGCTGGGGTAATTCATTCTAAGGAAATATCAGTTCATACAGCCATTTCTCCCCAGAGCCCCATTGCCACATGGCAGTAGATGTTTAAAAATCCATATTAGTTAGATAACACTATGATGCATTGCAATAACCAGTGAGTTTCAAAATCTCAGCTTGTCAAAAGTTAATTTCTCATTCACACTATACCTTGTTAGGCGAAGGAAAATGTGGCCCAAAGTTTACTACAGCAGCAGCAGAAAGAGGGAGAAGGTACCCCAGCTCTGAGCCACCTCAACCCAGCAGTTCCCCACATGATTCTGTTCATGGTCCATTAGGCAGAACTATGGCCCCAAACTAATTGCAAAGAAACCTAGGAAATATAGGAACACATGTATATTTTTAAGAGCATTAAATATTCCTGCCACAATATCAGTTTTAAAAAGCTAGATGTGCACTAAGTTTGAACATCTTATGAACAGGTGAAGAAGACTTTGAACAGGATATACCACCAGAATCGTAAAGTACATGAAAAGACTGTGCGCACTACTGCAGCTGCTGTCATTTTAAATAACAACCCATCCTACATGGAAGTAAAAAACATCCTGCTCTCTATTGGGGAACTTCCCAAAGAAATGAATAAATACATGCTCGCTATTGTTCAAGACATCCTACGTTTTGAAATGCCTGCAAGGTATGATACACTGTACTGATTGCTCTGCTTAGTCAAGCTAATTTGTGTATTGGTGTGGCACACATGTGGTTAATAATAATGGTGTCTTATGCTGGGTTATGTTGCATAAAATCAGAGTTCACCAAATTTCCCATAAGAGAACTATTTAGTGGGGCAGATAAAATAACTTCACTTTGGCATGCTTTGGAACTCTGGGTGTGATTTTTTACTCTAGCTCTGCTGTTCAGTCAGGTCAATATATATTGTCAAATGTTGCAATGTTTTAAAATCCAACCACATTTTTAATAGAACTATTTTTATAAATAGCACAACAAAATGATGTAAATTCTCACCAAATGGTCTTCCATGAGAACTTCCCGTATGCTAGGGAGCTTTGAAACCTCGTTCATGATGACAGATCAAACGCATTTGCCAGTTGGATTTAAAATCTTAAGCGTGGCCTGTGTTTTAGGACTATTCAAGGTGCAAAGACGGCCATCAGCAGACTTGATTGCTCTCAGTTACTCTCACTGATCTCAGCTTCCTTCCATTCCTCAAGTCTCTTCTCCTGAATTCACAGATGTCCCTCTTCAAAGTGGTTTCCCCAAAGTTCTCAACGCCTCCTCATTGAAATCAGAGGGCCAGAGAAGGAATTTCCATTTCCCCTGAGTTACATGCAGAGCACTATCCCCAGGGAAGATCACCTTTGAGTATTCCCAGTTGTAAAGGAAAACAGACACGGGAGGAGGTGGGAAATAGATAAAGAAGAAGGGCAGTAAAAGATTGCCCTTTTTCTAAGGGCAGTAAAAGATTGAAGGAAAGAGAAACAAGAAGTAAGACCCAAGGAGTAAGAAATAGGGAGAGTGAGTAGAAGGAGGAAAGACCAGGACAAATAAGGAAGGAGGAAGGAGCAGATGAAGGAGAAAGAAACGAAGTCCATCTGCACCCATCACGCCTAGTGGAATGGATTTGACTTCTGTTTCTTGGTTTGCTTTCACAAGACTGCAGAGGAGATCCTGGGTGCATTTTCTGCCCCTGTCTTGTGGAACTATTGATTCAGGGGGCAGTAAAGGGAAAGCAGTGGGGTGGAAAGCGGCCCGAGAAAGGTGAGGAAACCATTGTCAACACTGCAGGTCAAATGATCAGAACCAAAACGTTGGCATTGGAGGGACACTGAAGGCTGCCTTGCTTGGCATCTCTCCCCAGCCAGGGCTCTCGTCTCCTGGCAGGTGGTGTCCAGACTTTGCCTGAACCTCTCCGGAGGTTCACTGCCTCTGAGGGAACTTGTGTCATTGCTCAGAGACTCTCACTACTATTTCTTCATATCACTGAACTCTTCTTATTGGTCCTGGTTTTATCCCTGGAGCAAAGCTGAACAGGTCAGATCATTCATCCACACGCAGGGCCTTTGAATATTTGAGGATGGCTATCACAACTCTTCTCATCTTTTCTTCTCCAGGCCAAAACCTTACAACCTAGTAATATTGATGGTGGAGGTGGGGCACCTGCAAGGGTACTGTTGACTCTGCTCATAATTTTCTACCTCAGATCTAGGTCCAGGTTTCTTGAGGTGATTATTGTGATGATGTTTCCTGTGTTGTCATATTTTTTTTATTACTGATATGATCGGTGTTAAGTAGCCAAGAATGAAAGGATCCCAACACTAATTAGGTAGATAAGATACAGGCATGCAGTAAGGTTTAAGACTTACTTTAAAGGAGGAAATGGTTCATGGATTTTACTGAGATGTCTCTTTAATTAAAAACTACACAAGTAGAAAAAATTCCTGGAATTTCCTGTTATGTATCATTAGCCAGTGATAACATTAGAGGTGTAGGAAAACGTTTAAAGAAGTACTGGGAAAGGCCCCTAGTGTGACACACAGAGCTTTCCTTAAAAGTATGTACTATTTAACAATAGACCGTGATGATTTAGAGAACATGTATTTCCCACTCCTGAGGTGTGTCCACCTGTCAGTTTTAGCCATCTCAGAGCCAGGTGCCCTCGCCTTGCTGTCATTTTGATACCAAACTAAATTTCAAACACCTGAGGAATGAAGGCGAGAGCCCCTGACCCCGGCACTGGCACTCCAGCTGGCCCCTCTCAATCCTGGATCAGCATGAGGAAAAGTTGGCCCCTTTTTCCCACCCAGGATTTGGTTTTTTTCCACATCTGACTTGGGAAATAGCCATTACAATGAATGTACAGCTTTTCCCTTTTATGTGTTGCAGTAAAATGGTCCGTCGAGTTCTGAAGGAAACGGTTGTTCATAATTATGACCGTTTCTCCAAGAGTGGATCCTCTTCGGCCTATACTGGCTATGTAGAACGTACGTAACCCCGTAAGGGGATGTCCCCTCATGCCCTTTCCCCAGCTTGATATTGCTGGGACTGTTATTCAATTATGGGATCTGTTTTCTTGTCATTAGGTCATCCCCATTCAGTGTCTACGTACAGCCTTGACATTCTTTACTCTGGCTCCGGTATTTTGAGGAGAAGTAACCTGAACATCTTTCAGCGCATTGGGAAGGCTGGTCTTCACGGTATCCAGGTGACTCATATTCCATTACTTTTGCCCAGAGAAGTATGTGGAAAATTAGTCTGAGGTAAAAAGTATGCATATATACTGATGGTAATGCTATAGAATATGCAAGTTAATGGAGACTTCTGCCATAAGTTGCCCATGATTCCATCATCTGCAGGAGGCTCTGTGATCCCAAAGAGAGTTTCAAAATTGAACCTGAAACCTAAGTAATTTGATTCACTGGACTTCCATTCATCATTTCAAAGTTAAAAATATTCACAAAATTGAAATCATGTCAGTATTTCTCACATAAGTTTTTAAACTATCTTTTTTTTATTAACAGAAATATTCTGTAAAGCTCCATATATTTAATTCTAGAAATATATGTTCTTTCTTTGGGTGTTTCTATGAACAGATTGATTTCTCCATAATAAAAACTTTCATTGTAGAATATGGCTCCCTAAAGAGTCAATCAGTATTTTTCAATACTTCTAAAAGAGAAAAGAAAAAAGTATAGGCATTTGACAGCTGGCTGACTTCCATGCCTTTTGCTTTATCCAAAATTTGGTGATAATCTATAAATTTTTCCTAATTATGAAACAGACTTTCTTTTTGAGGTGTGTGCATATGAAATTATAATCTTCTAAATGAGTTAATTTAACCTGTAAAAATGATACAGTGCTATATAAACTTGAGTTCTTACAATATTATAAATATTACTGCACCCTTTGATGAGTCCCTAGTCAGAATGCCCTGCCTTTCTTGCTGAGGAATAACCATGTGTTTTCTATTATGCACTCTGAAAACACCTAACACCCATTGGTTAAGGGGCTGGGTCTGGAGGACAGAGAATATGTAGGATTGTTATGTATGGTAGAGTTCAGGATGCAAGCTTTGTCATCATTTCTTTTAGCTAGAAAGAAAATTTGACATGGAGAGGTGTGGGTCCTGGCATCCCTACCTTCTCACGGCAGCAGCCTTAGGGCGGCCGGCTCTCTCCACACCTCTCCATCCCCCTTCAGGGGCCCTACAGGAGAGCTGATCCTTTTTGCATGACAGACCTGGAGAGACTCGGAAGTCTCTAGGATGACACCATAAAGTGGAAAGCTCATGGCCTTTGTAGCCAGACATAGGGGTCTGAATCCTTCCTCTGCTGTTTGAGCTTTTTTTTTTTTCTTTGCATCATATACAAAATGGATAAAATCCTTTGTACCTCACAGGATGTTTGTGAGATTAAATGAAGACAATTAACTTGCACAGAGTTGTCTTTTGTTTTTGCCTAGCTTTTACAGGTATTTGAATTTTTGACCCCTTGGAAAATTCTAGCTATACCTTAGAGGCCTCACCATCATGTACAGAACAGGCAGGGAGCTTACGTCATGAATGGTATATCCATTTTTCCCTAGGTGGTCATTGAAGCCCAAGGACTGGAGACCTTAATTGCAGCCACTCCAGATGAGGGAGAAGAGAATCTTGACTCCTATGCTGGCATGTCAGCCATCCTTTTTGATATTCAACTCAGACCTGTCACTTTTTTCAATGGGTACAGTGATTTGATGTCCAAAATGCTGTCAGCATCTAGTGACCCTGTCAGCGTGGTGAAAGGACTTATCCTGCTAACAGATCATTCCCAGGTAATCCATTCATTCTGCAAGTATTTATTGAATCCCTGAAACATACCAGCCACACTGGAAGAAAGAAGGCAGTGTCCCACCCACCTTGGAGCTCATATTCTAAGCATTGAGCCCTCTTGGTATTGTTGCCCTTTTTCTTTTCCCCTTTGCTGTAGGTAAGCACATTTCTTATTTTGTTTTGTTGTGGTTTTTGCCTCTATTAGTTGATTAGCACATCTTGGCACTGTTGAGGCAGAGAAAATACCCAGTATAATATGAGAGTAATAAATGCCAATTATATCTCAATAACACTGACAGAACAAAAAGGAAACTACTGATACCAACAGAAACAAAAAATTATGGAAAAAGCAACCTAGGATACAATGGAGCAGAGCTGGCATTACCTCTTCACTTGACTTTCCTGGGCACTAGAGCTTGAATGGTATTTATTCTGAAGGCAGGAGCTCAACTGCATGGCTTCCTAAGTCGCTGATGACATTTCTCATGACACCAGTGATGAAGGTCCACACGCACATTATCTGGACCCTGCCTGATCAGAGGCACAAGCAACCACGGACACCAGCTGGGTGTGTCATGGCAACTCTGCCCCAGCTTCCCACGTTCTTGGAGTCTTACAGAGGTTCACTCATTATCAGAGAATAAGAGTACTTTCATTCACTTGAACTGCATTCTTTGGTTGTATCCTCACAACCAAATCTTAAGGGTCACATGAAAAACCATTTGCAGAATTACCCAGTGGAGATGCATTCTTAATGAAAACATCTCTGCCGAAGGCTTAAGAATGCTGAGGAAGTAGCCCACATTTTAAGGCAGGAATAATAACAGTTCAACACCATCTGTATGTGCTCAACCGCCTATCAACAATGACTGATGGTCTTAGTTGGGGTGTGAAACTTGATATAAACTAAGTTAAAACCTTTAGATCAGGGTCAGCAAAGTTTTTATGTAAAGGGCAGAAAGTAAATATTTCAGGGTTTGTGGGGCACAAGTCTTTTGATGGAACCATTCAACTCTGTCATAAAATGAAAACAGCTATCAGCAATATGTTAACATATGAATGTGTCAGTGTTTCACTAAAATTTTATTTACAAAAATAGCAAGGGAGCTAGATTTGCCTGCAGGCTGTAGTTTGCCAACTCCTGATCTGGATTACCTTGTAAGGTTTTAAAATTCATTAAGGGAGGCAACTAAGAATATTCTAAGAAGAAGATTGTCTGGTAGCTATTGAGCATAACCTGATGTCTGTGTATTTCAGATTGGAGTGTCTGGCAGATCTGGGGATATTATTGCAAATAAGCTGTTTGAGGCCCTGGCTCAGCAGAGCACTCCAGTAATGCCATCCCAGCTTCAGAAGCACATACCACTCTAGGTCAAGTGCTGACATTGAAGGAAATTTTGGCAGTGGGTAGCCTGTCACAGCTACCAGGGCGGATGGAATTACTCTGTGCTCACTCTCTCTCTCTCTCTCTCTCTCTCTTTTCTGCTAATTGGATTACTCTTCAGAGAAGGATGTCTGATAAAGTCAGCTTAATATAGGGATCCTCTTTAGCTAGAAAGGAACATATTCTACTGAATGGAAGTAATGGAATGAGTTGTTAAGTATCACTGTCTGAACTGTAAGAAACACTTCATGGCTAGAGGGGACCAAAGATCAAAGGGGTCATGTTAGCTATGAATACACAGCTCATAGGCAATAATTTAAATAAATAGGCACTCTGGGTCAAACAAGGCCATAAGCTTACACCCTTTTTTTGGTAATATTTCTCAGAACAGGCTTCCCTGCATACCAGGAGACAAAAAGGAGTTATGATTTCAAGATTGCCATATATGATAGTAGAAAAGTCTCCACCCAAGAGTCAGTCTGGGTGTTGATTCTAGCTCCATGTATGCCCACCAAGCCTGATTTTTCTTTTCAGTCTTCAGACAGAGTGCCTACCATGGAAGATTAGTAGGGCAATTAAATGAGATACCAAATACAGAGCTTTTGAGACATAGTAGGTGTTCAAAAATTGTTAGTCCCACTTAGTTTATACCCCTCAAAAACTAGGACCACTGCACCATGTGTTTTAGTTCCTTCCTCAAAGAATGAGTGGTTTGTCCTTCTACGGGGGTTAAAATTTGGGCATGATTCTTGTGATTTTCTCAGGATAATTCGTGTCCCTTCATATCAGTTTGGATGCATGACAAACCCCTGCACGCTACCACCACCACATTTGTTTAGACTGAATATAGCTGCAGGGATCCTTAAGGCTCTCCCTGATGTGTCCTGAGCTCTGTGTCAAGAATCCCACACTTTCATTCAAGTGTCTTTCAGACTGAAAGTAGCTTCCTGCCTCAGTTGGAGGTTTTAGTATGCCTGGTTGTAGACCAAGACCTTTGAAATGTCTTGCCACATTTTTTGGGAAGTGAGAGAATTCAGGGAGCTCAACATAATCCTTTCCAGAAAGTGAAAGTAGGACATGTATAGTTGGTGAAAGCACAGCCCATGTGGTTGGAGTAGGGCGGTTAAATAAAGGAGTTACTCATGCCCCTAGTTACCATGGACCTAAGGTCTTGAAGGGATATCAGAATGAAGGATACTGAGCCCTTTTCCCATAACCATGATTACTTCCAACACTGTCCCCAGGCAATCTAACTGCAATCCAGATGAAGAAGTTTTCACCAACATCACCCCATCTAACGTACATAGAAAATGCAAGACTAAAGGCTAACTGCTGGCAAACAGCACAAAACAGCCGGTTACAGACAGCTACAGAACTGCTCAGGATGGGCTATGTTTGTGAATTAGTACTGCCCCTCTGGAATATGCTGTTGAGCTCATGTTGGACTTGTCTGTTAGTCTGATTATTCCAAATGTCAAACAAGGTATTAAGGCTTAGGTAAGCTGCCTGGCCTTTCTTTCCTAACATGATGTAGGCAAGTCCTGAAGCTTGTGTACTGCACCAGCGGTTTTGTATCCCACCTTTCATTCACCAGAAAGATGCAGTTATGTGTGTTTGGCACAGCACATACCTGGAGAAGTGCTGAAAGGCCCCAAGCAGTCATATAGCCTAGTCCCTCACCCCACCTCAAAGCCACAGCTGGATTTCTGATGGAGATTTCTTCATTTCCTGTAGTCTGGTGGTTCTCAAATTTAAATGCATCAGAATCACATGAAGGCTTGTTAAAACACGAATTGCTGGGCTATGCCCTCAGAATTTCTAATTCAGAAGGTATCGAACTTTCATTTCTAACAAGTTCCCAGTATGCTGATGTTGTTCCTCAGGGGACCACACTTTGAGAAACTTTGCCTTTCCCAGAGTGAGGCAATTGAAAGAAAACACCCTTCTCAACTGGCACTTCAATGTTCTAGTATTTTAATTGACTAAATAATTTAGCAAATCAATAGTGTACTTTTGGTGATCAACATTAGAATAATGCATTTCCAAGCCTAGAGAAAGACTCCAACATTAACACAACTCAAATGGTATTACCTACAATAGGGGGTTGAATGTATCTTTAGAAAGGGGTTAGCTAAATTGTGATAATGATTATTACTATAATTATTACACATTTTTGCTTCCAGGAGATTCAGTTGCAATCTGGACTGAAGGCCAATATGGGGATCCAGAGCGGTCTAGCAATTGATATATCTGGTGCAATGGAGTTTAGTCTGTGGTATCGTGAGTCTAAAACCCGAGTGAAAAATCGGTAAGCATATGTGCCTGTAATATTCTGCTATATACATAATATTTATGCTATATGTAATATAATAATAAAATATATGTGTGCTATATATATTGCTAATATAATATTATGCAAAGAACTGCAGAGATACAATTTTGGAATTGTGTAACCCTCTGACTTTTTTAAATTGATGCTTTTGATTTATAATCATTAAATCATTGAGTAGGAAGTAACTGTTGGCAGTCATTCCTTCCATCACTTCTTATGAGCAGGTGAGTACCTAATATAATTCAGTCAGGGATCTTCTTGCTTTTAAAGACATCCTCAGACGTCCTAAACATCCATGGATGAGAAGTTCATTATCTCTTGGTGTTCTACTTCAGCTGGAAATTGATAATGTTGTCAGGAAGTTTTACTTTGAAGCAAACCTTTTCAATTACTCTTCTTGTTGAGATTTTAGATCTTTCTTCTTTTGCTGTCCTCAATGGAGAAAAATAAAAAGATGGTTACTTTTGTGCAGAATCTAAGTGTTAACTTTAGGAGTTGGTAAAGTTTTCATTAGTGTTCATTTTTCTAAACAAGATATTCTCAGCTCCTTTACTTTTCTAATCTACCTGTCCAATCATATGAAAGGGTTTTATCTTGAACATAAAACAATGTCTCTGAACCAGTGTGATAATCAAAAGAATTATTCTTCTGTTTGTTATAGAATTGAAGAAGAGGATATGGAAATGCAATTGATTTTTACCTTTTTTGATATTTAAAAATGTAGTGGGGAAAAAGTAAGGAGTCATAAAATTAAATTTTTTATTGATTTTAAAGTATGGATGAAGGAATTGAGAACAAAGTTGCTACATTTAATGTGAAAGGTGACCCACATTGTTACTAAAGGAACCAGAGTATAAGACATAGAACAGGCCATCAGAGGGATCAGCAATAAAGTTTAGGGCTTCCCCCTGAGTCATATTTCTTCTCTTCTGAAATGTTTTCCAAATATAAGTTTCCCCAAATTAAACTGAATTGAATTCTTTGCAGGAAAATCAATAACAGCAGAACTGGGTTTTTAAAAATAACCAAAGTATCTGAATTTTTAAAAAGGACACAGTATCCCTAAGAATCTACCAGTATCCACACTGTAGCCAATCTATCTTCAATTTTTCATTTGTTCATTAAAAAAAAAAAAAAAACTCTTAAGCCCTTGTTGAGTGTAATATATTAGTAGGTATGGAAAGGGATTCAGGGGTTTAAGCAATGCCACCTCTGACCTATTTTTGTACTGACAAGAGCAGCAGGGGCTTTCAGTTGCATGGCAAACTTTGGACAGTACTCCTATCAAAAAAGCCTGGACATACAGCTCTGATTTAATTGTGAGAGTAATTTCCTACAATTCATTTAAAGGCTACAATTAAATTAGAGTGGTCCTAGACGTAAGCCTTCTCCTGGGATTATCCTCTTAATCATCACCCAAGCCATGCTCCCACGTTAATCCAAGATGTCTATCCAGTTCTCTTGGTGATTATTGGAAAATCTACCATACCTCTCCTTCTTAGGGCACCCATTGTACAGGCCCCACTGTTGGAGTGGCTCTTTGTGACATAGTATCTTTTTCAAATATCTTGGTAACCATAGACTTATGTCTCTACCCTTTTCAGAAAGTAATGAAATCTAATTAAAATAACTACATAGAAGCCAACAGAGAAATAGTTACTAAGAAAATTGTTATAAATATCAGCTTTCTTCTTGGTGAGTTTAGATTTCTTCTGAAGATAACTCAGGTATTTCTGACTTCCTGAGAGGACCAGGTTCCAAGCATGTTTTCATCTTCACCCTTGATATGTTGATACAAAGCAGTGTTACGTGATATATGCTTCCTTCCCACATCTAGAGTAGAAGGCTGGAGGGAGGTCTCAGAGGAAGGGCAAACCCTCACTGCCCACTCCCTGGACTAACCAGGGTCTGGATACCAATAGAACTCTAGCACATTGAGGTCACATATTAGTCCCTGAAGTGTTTCCTTCCAGTCATCATTGTCAGGGTTCAGATTCTCTGAAATTATAGCTCAATTAAATGAGATATTAACAGGGATTTTTTGTTTTTGTTTTTGTTTTGCCCAAATCTCTAGTGTATCCCTGGTAATAGTTGGTGACATCACTGTGGACTCCTCTTTTGTGAAAGCTGGCCTGGAAATCAGTGCAGAAACAGAAGCAGGCCTAGAGTTCATCTCCACAGTGCAGTTTTCTCAGTACCCATTCTTAGTTTGCCTGCAAATGGACAAGGATGGAATTCCTTTCAGGTAAGAAGCAGTGCTGTGGAATGTCCCAGAGCCATCCCCAGGTCACTAGGAACTTGAACCCAGTTTTGAGCATTCAGTTTCAGAAATTTTATTTAACTAGTGAAAATCCAGTGAAACATGAATTTTCTTCGAGTGAAAGAATAATTGTTAAGATCAAAAAAATATATATAGGGTACTGAGAAAATGTAATGACTGTTCATTTGCTTCTGAAGATAATGTCACATCCTAACCCAGAAATAGTTTATCAAGAAAACAAAGAGATTTGATTTACTGTAAGAGTTGACATGTAGTTTCAGGAATATACTGGATGCGTATTTACTATCAACTGTCGTCAAAATTGTTTCCTAGACAAAAAGTTCAGAAACACCTGGCAAAGACAGGCTATAGTTTAAGAGCCCAAATAAATTCACAGTTTTTACAGGAAACATACAATAGCAACTTGACCTTGTTTAAGTTTTGGCTCAAGCTTGAGAGTTTGGGTTTTTGATTTTTAAAAAGTGCTTCAGTTGAATTTTTAGTGTATCAAAAACCAAGTATGTAATTGCTCATCTAACTTTCTCAACACCTCTTTCACTCTAGAGCTTCTCATTTACACTGTGTCCTTTGAGTCTCGTAACTGTTATTTATAACAATGGTGTCATGTGGAAGTAGAATGCTTTGTGACCTGGAGCATTCCCTCCTCCATTGATACAAACTATCTACCATGACTTAAAACAGCAAGCCAAATTTTATATCATCTCCCTTGATAAGCAGGCCACAGTTGAGCACCTTCTTTATGTTCCTGGCATCTCATGATCTATAAAGGGAATGTATAAATGGTATAAGTATAAATATGAGTAGTTTTATGTTTTTATAGAATAAAGCATAGTGGATTATAATCAGAGTGTTAAATTATTGCTAATTTATACTGATTTATCTCTAGAATAAAACTCCTTTAATGCATAAAAAAAAAATTCAGCCTTCCCCATGGTCAAAGTGCAGCGACCACCAGCCCAGGCACATGGCCAACTGGCAGTGTTCCCCATTTCACTCAGTCCAAAGCTCTGGGAATGTTTCCCAGTCAGCATTCCCAGTTTAAATCCAGTTGGGCTTGCTGCTTACTCAAAGGAGAGCTGCTCCCAAGGTGGGGCTCCTGGAATGAGGAGTGAGAGACGAGGCAAGGCCTGCAAAGCTTTACAGCATCTCCAAAATGCTGAGAGGAATTTACTCCTTCATTCCAGAAAAATGTATGGCTGGGCTCCCATATCCAGGCATTTGAAGTATATCTGTTTGTGTAAAAAGAATGAGAAGGAACAATCACCCCACTCATGGGAATGGAAGCTAGGAATCTTGGTGCTCATATCCTTTCTCAAAGCACTTTGAAACAGAAGCTTCAAGTGTACACTCTATAACTTGGCTCTGATGGGTGTGGGGTGACATTAAAATGTGTGTAATTTTGTTATTGTTATGCAGGCAATTTGAGACAAAGTATGAAAGGCTGTCCACAGGCAGAGGCTACATCTCACGGAAAAGAAAAGAAAGGCTGCTATCCGGATCTGAATTTCCGCTCCACCAAGAGAACTCCGAGATGTGCAGGGTGGTATTTGCCCCTCAGCCAGAAAGTTCCTCCAGTGGTTGGTTTTGAAACTGATGGGTGGTGTTTCACTTGAATTGGTCTCCCCAGAAGGGGTATGAAGTGACATGCCTAAGTACTTGCTCTCTGAGAGCACAGTGTTTACATATTTACCCATATTTAAGATTTTTGTAAAAAGCTATGAAAAACCTCAAATGATTAAATTTGGGCCTATTCAGTATCCTACCTACAGTGTCATTTTGAGCCACTATAAGTGATACTTTTAGCTACATTCTTATTTTTCCTGTACCTCTCTCAAATCCCATTTGATATAGTGAGAATAGTTCTGCCCCAAGAAACTATTGTTTATAAAATGCAAAACAAAACACATGTATTCTCAGGAGAACCCAATTTTGTTTCAACAATTTTCAAGTAACATGTATAAAAACCTTTGATGGAACCTTAAATGTGGCTTGTTTCTACCAAACATGTTGCCCAATTAGAAAGAAAACATACCTTTTTTCCCCCTTTTTATGGAAGTGAGGGGAGGGGACATAACTTTTTAAGACTTGTTAGCTAGCTTTAAGAATGAATTTTTATATCTTCTCTTAGTTGTACTAAGCATTGTGGTAGATGGCAAACTGAATTAAAATATTCAAATTGATATTTAAAATATCTTTCTGCTGACCATGTAGTCAGATTGCTAGAAGAAAGCCATTCAGTCCTCTCTGCCTTCTGCCCTGCAAAAATATTGGACTTAGCAATAAGAATTAGAAGTGTTAATTTCAGAAACTCCACTCAATTTTTCTTGTGCTGCATCTCTTTGAGACTGTATTGTGGTACACTGTCCTTTATAAGGGACATCTTCATATATTCTTCATTTTATTGTTTATTCAATTGTTTTGTGGTAGAAGTTCCAGTTTGTTTGACTGCAATCTGTACAAGAGCCAGAAGGGCAGAGAGAATTTAACATTGCTTTGAGGAAGTGTTGGATTTGTACTTCTAAAACATGAAATGAAAAAGATTGTTTTTATTTGTACAAATTAAAGGAACCATGTTAAAAAATTTTCAAATATTTATTAATAAAATGGATACATGTGTTTATAGGGTTAAACTCAATACAGGTAACAGATGTTCATTTGTCCATTACACACACCCATACAATGGAAGTTAACTAGCCCCCCACTGGTTGCAAACTTAAAATGATGTGGGATGAAATAAATATGTGGGAATCCTATTGAATTACTTTTGCTTTCTTTTACTTCCAACCCATATTTCTCTGCTCCTGCTGCTTTCTGAGCCCAGAAACATATACAGTTAAGCCGTTGCAGCTCAAAAGAATAAGCCAGATCCTCCAATAGGACGTCAGAGCCCTTTGGAAAATGGGCTACTGATAATAGCAACAGTCAGAACTTCCTAAGTTGAGTTGAAAACAACTCAAACCCAGTTTTCATAAAGCTTTGGAATGGCACATTATTGTTATGTTACTGAGAAGAGAGAAAGGCCATTTAGCTCACCTCACAGAAGACTTTTCTCAGCTAAAAAATGGTAAAAGTAAGATTCAGATATAAGTCATTTCACCCTAGAGCCAGCTCTCTGAATCCACCATGCTGTATTTCCCAGGTCGTTTTGGCTTTTAAAAGTTGCTGCTTAAAGAATACAGACAGTAGTTAGGGAATAACAAACATGGGGCTGTAGCTACAAAGCGTTCAGCTACAGTGCGAAGTCCTGAGCGTCATTGCCCTTTTTCTCTGTCGTTGCTGTGTCCCTTTCTCTGGTAGGATCAAAACTTCTCGTCCACTTGTAGACCTGTATTTTTTCTTGGCCAAGTGTGCCTTCTGGCATAAGGGTGCTTCATCTCTGCAAGCAGGTCTGACTGTGTAATAACAAATGTGCATTTCTTACAGCAGCTTTATTGAGATATGATCACATAGCATACAATTCACCCATTTATGGTGTAGAATTCAATTTTTATATCATATTACAGCATATTCACAAAGGTGTACAATTATCACCACAGTTTATTTTGGAACATTTTCATCATTCTAGAAAGAAACCCATACACTTTAGCTGTGACCCCCAATTTCCTCATCTCCTAGCCTAAGACAATCGCTAATCTACTTTCTATCTCTATAGATTTATTCATATAAATGGAATCATATGATATGTGGTCTTTGTGACTGGCTTTTTTCACTTAGCATTATATTTTCAAGATTCATTAGTGTTGTAGCATGTATCAATGCTTCATTCATTTTTATGTTCAAAAAATCTCTCATTATATACATTTGTCATTAGTCAGTTGATGGACACTTGGGTTGTTTTTATTTTGGCTATTTTGAATAATTCTGCTATGAACTTCTGTGTACAAATATTTGTGTGGGCATATGTTATATCTAGGAGTGGAATTTCTGAGTAAAATGATAACTCTATGTTTAACTTTGTAAGAATTGCCAGGTTGTTTTCCAACGCGATTACACCAATCTACATTTCCACCAGCAGTGTGTGAAGGCTCGGATTTCTCCGCATCTTCCACATCACTTGTTCCTACCTTCCTCCTTGCTTATGGCCATCCTAGTGGATGTGACGTGGTGTTTCATTATGGTTCTCATTTACATTTCCCTAATGATTAATGATGTTGAGCACCATTATATATTAGTAAATCTTCTTTGGAGAAATGTTTATTCAGATTCTTTGCATTTTTTAAAATTGGGTTATTTGTCTTTTTATTAGTGAGTTGTAATAGTTCAGTATATATTTTAGGTATAAGTCCTTATCATATACATGATTTGTAAATATTTTCTCCCATTCTGTGGTATGTCTTGTCACTTTCTTGGTAGTGTCCTTTGAAGCACAAGAGTTTTTAATTTTGGTCAAATCCAATTTTTCTGTTTTTTCTTTTCTTTTTTTGCTTCTTTGGTTATATCCAAGGAACCAATGCTAAATTCAAAGTTGCAAAGATTTACTTCTGTGTTTTCTTCTAAGATTATAGTTTTACTTTTAAGTTTAGGTACTTGATTCATTTCTAGTTAACTTTTTATATATTATATGCAGTAGGGGGTCCAAATTCATTCCTTTGAAAGTGGATATCCCATTATCCCAGCAGCATTTGTTGAGAGTTGATTCTTTCCCCATTGAATTGCTTTGGCATTCTTGTTGAAAATAAATTTACTGTATATGTGACATTTCATTTCTGTATTGAAATTTTTATTCCATTAATCTATATGTCTATATGCCAGTACCACATTGTCTTAATTACTGTTGCTTTGTAATAAGTTTTGAAATGGGGAAGTGTGAATCCACTTAATTTGTTTTTTTTTCAAGATTGTTTTGGCTCTGAGTCCCTTGAGTTTCCTATGAATTTTAGGAGAGTGTCAACTTCTACAAAGCTAGCTGGGATTCTGGTAGAGATTGTGTTGAACCTGTGTGTCAGGTTGAGGAATATTGCCACTTTAATATTAGGTCTCCTGATCTGAGAACAGGAGGCATCTTTTCACTTACTTAAATTTTAATTTCTTTCAACAATGTTTTGTCATTTGCAAGGTGTAAGTTTTGCACTTTTCTTTTGTTAAATTTATTCCAAGTGTTTTATTATTTTTGATGCTATTGCAAATGGAATTGTTTTCTTACTTTCATGTTTAGATTGTTCATTGCAAATATACAGAAATACAGTCGAGTTTTGTATATTGATCATGAATCCTGCAATTGCAGGATTCATTTATCAGTTCTAATATCTTTGAGTAGATATCTAGTTTCCCCAGGACTTTCTATATAAAAATTCATATCATCTGTAAACAGAGCTTGTTTTACTTCTTTCTTTCCAATCTGAATATCTTTAATTTAATTTAATTGCTTAGCTGCCCTAGCTGTTGAATAGGCCGATGCTGACTAGGACTGGTGACAGAGAACATGGCAAAGATGAGGATGCTGGTGAAAAGCGGTGGTGGAGTGATAGCAGGGATGGCCCAGAAACACCACAGAACATGAAAGGAAGGCTCAGGTCATTCGACAATGGTGATAGTTCTATTTTCACTTATACACCTGAAAAATTCATAGAACCTTAGAAAGCTTAAAGCACATTTAAATAGTCACAGTGCCCTCCTGTACAGGGAGGGTCAGCAGGCATCAAGAATCTATTCCAGATCCAGACTGACTGAGGCTTCACTGCTTCTCATCCATTTAGCTGCCAACTAAGAAACTGTGAGGGAGCAGGGAGTGGCCTGGGGGCCTGCCTTGGAATTCTGTAAGAACTATCCCCCAACTACTGGCTGGGTGGTCTTGGACATGTGACTTAGTTCTCATCTCTAAAATGGATATGATAGTCTCCATTTCACTGGGTTGTTTTAAAAGTTCATTAGATAATGTGTGTAAAGTACAGTGCCAAGCACACAGTAGTATTTGATAAATACTGTGTATGTGAAGTTTCATTTCTGGATTGAAATTTTTATTCCATTAATCTATATATCTATCTTTGTGCCAGTACCATCCTGTCTTATTACTGTTGTTAAAATGCCACAAGGCATTTTCTGCTATCATTAATGTTTTTACTATTAGAAATGTAGTGAGCAATGTTATTACCAATGATCAGCTTTCTAATTTTTAGCAGAGATTGTGGGCACCTTACATTTACCTTTACCTTGTAATTAGTTGGAGAGCATAGTGATCCTCTCTAGTGAGCGTGGGTATCTGAACCTCTCACATGCAGCATCTGGGAAAGTGGGAAGCAGGGGAGTACAGCAGTGAGGGCGATTTGGAGTAAGATACTCCTGCTTAAATCTATTTTAAGTCTATTACGGTTAAAAAATCTTACCATTTCCACATATTCCTCCTACATAAACCTCCAGCCTCTCAGCTTCCACCTCTGTAAAGAAACATATGTAAAACCTCATCAGTTGTTGTAAGGATGAAATAAGGTCATGGGCTAGTGCCTGGCACACAAGCACTAAATAAGTGCTCACTAATATTAACTTTTATACGTGGTCCTATAGAACTCCTGAATAAAGCAACATTTCTTGTTCTGACTCCATGGAGTGAATCTATTTTCTGGACTTTGACTTGTGAGCACTGTGAGTTTTAGGAAGATAACCAGGTTTATTTGCCTATCATGAAAACATTACTTTCACATTGTAAAAATTATTCTCATATTTTGTAAGAACATGACTTTCACCTATTTCTCCACACACCCAAGTTGACTTCAGTTTTCACTGATCCTTTCTTTACCAAATTCCTTTGCCTTTGTTGCCTGTGAATGTGATAATTGCCAAAAGGAAAGAATAAGTATTTTTATGAGAAAGCATGGGATGAATCTAAAATTCAGCCATAGAATAAGCAAATTCCAGCAGAGTTCTTGGAGAACATAGCGAGAGAACTCCCCATCGTAGGTGAAATGGATAGCATTTTTTTGAGAGGGAATTAAATACTGGAAGAAGATTGCATCCTGCTCAGTCATCATCCTGCTTCAGAACTTGAGCAGAATGTCATATTTGTGTCTGTTCTTAGTTACCACCTCTCTCACTGTCAGGCTCTCTTATTTTGTTAGGGTCCCTGCTGGAATGGGGTCACTGTGTGAAACTGCACACTAGCAATTTGAAGAACTCAGTAAACTTTGTAAAGATATGAGCAGAATATAGGGAACCACATGGCATGGTGCAGCACCCTGAGGCTTGTAACAACAAGAAGCCTGAAAGGTCAAGGGAGAGAGGGACCGCTGGAACCCAGAGGGTATGAGCTGTGCGGAGCTATGGCTTTGAATGAAGCCTTCACCCCCTCCAGTAGAGGGAACCAGGGAGATAGCACCCTGACTTCTCTCTCTTTCCTCCCTCTGGTCTCCTGTCTGTGGTGCCCATTGACTGAAACCACCCAGAAACCAGAGGGCAAGAGTGCCTATTGGTCCAGACTGTCTACAAAGGTGGAAAAGGCAGGGGAAAATGGAAGAGAGCCAGCCCAAGCTTACACGACGGCCTTCCCTGCAATTTATTAACTGCATTAATCAGTCATTTTACATGACATAGAGGGTTAAGAAATGTACTACATTAAAAAAAAAAGTAAGGTGGGTGCCTCACCTCAAGAAACTCAGGGAGTGAGGACGCAATACAACTAAAAATACTTTTAGTACCTTGGTATAAATGTTGTAAAAGAAATGTGTTCAAAACCTTAAGAGAGCAGCATAAGGGGGAAAAAAAAAGAAAACATCATCAATGAGGTGAAATTTGAACCAGAGCACATGATTTCCTTGCTTCTATTCC